ATGTTTGTGATTGATTGGGAAGTCATCGTTTCAGAGAGGTTTGGTAAACAGAAAAACTGTCCTGAATTCTAAGTGGTTCGCTAGGTTGACGAGAATCAAAAAATTGTGGTCCTTGAACGTAACTTCCACCAAGTGTAAAGTAAAATTAAAACCCGTAACCGCGGGTGACATTGACAGTGTAGACTGACTACCCGTTTTCGATCAAAACTTGACTATTGACCGGACGTTGATGTCCATTTTCCGCAATATGAGCATACTTGTTCAAACCGAGTAGAGCTACCGAAAACTGAACTTTTCCAACTATATCCGATCTTTGCTACTCTGCTGTGTTGGTGAATTCAATGGTGGCTAACTTCTTACCCTTCTTCTAACCTACACCACTGCCAAAGTTGATACGTAACAGGTCGGACTTGCTCCTCAGCTTAGACAGGTTTGAGGGTAAGTACCGTCATTTGTACAAGACAGAGGAGTTTAAATTGGGGAAAATTCTGAACTCACTATATCGGTTGGCAGGACAGAGTAAAACGCTCGGTTGAAATTATCCCGCGGTGTCACTTTGGGCTACTGGTGAGATGGAAAGGAATGTGGTCTGTATTCTCTATGTACACATTTGTACGCACGTGTATTTGTCCCCAGTTGTGGAACATTGAAATTCAAGCACGAGGGTACGTCATGTAAGCTGATAGCCATCGCTCCGATCACAGACAGAATGTTCGATTTTATTGATCCTTTTTACTCTGAATGGGCCGTGTACGTTTCGCTGACCTTCACTAGAGGTTATCTGGAGAGTATCTTATTGAATTCGTATTGCCATTTCTGAGACAGGGTGGTAGATACTCTTTCATCTCCCGACTAGGTTGCTCTGTCGGTCACCCAACTTGCCTGGCCGCACAACAATGTCTGAGGTTGGTGTCTTTATCTGAATATAGATTCTCTGAACGTTTGCTGTTTGTTCGTTGAACATGTCAAATGGTACTAACCTAAAGTTGAGATAAGCTGAGCCAGACATGGGTCCACTGCTCAGACTGAATAGGATGAGCACTTTAGTACGATCTCAGCCCACGAAGAAGCACGAACCCGCATGAACCTCAGAAACTTCGCGGAGTCTATAACGCCCGGTCTTTTGCCCTAAAACGCGTCGTCAAATAGTGAATCAACATTCTAAGTGTGTTGATGCGTGGTCCTGGTGAAAATGACCTACATTCGCCTGAGCGGAAGCCATTGTTGCCATGCTGTTTTGATGGAACTTCATCAATGGATAAATATAATCCGATTGTCCATTCGTCTCTGTTGACTGTCATCATTCCCGTGCTGCAACCGTGAACGCTTGTTAGCAAGTGGACTACGATAACGTTTTCTGTGGTAGTACGATAGGCAAATAATTGCCTGAAAACGTAACGCAATCCACCAAGTGGTTACGAAAACGCTACCGTCCTCTTATGCCTCACACAACAACGATGGTGATCGTGTAGTAAAAATGACTGAGCCGAAACTTACGACAGTGATGAAAGCGGCTTTTTGCACCGTCGCAATAGGGACCTACTCTGACACAAATGTTTTTGCCGTTAGTTGGCAAACGCTTGAAGTTTTTAAACAATTTTCAGTGGAAGGTAGCCTTGAAAACCAAAAGATCCTACAATACTGTCCAATAGAGGAAACTACCTGGAAGGTTGTGTTTTGGAAAAAATGTGCAATACTGTGGATTTGCATCACTATAACCTATGCTAACACTTTCTCGCACTTATTATTCCAGTGTCAAATGAAAGAAAACGACGGTAAGTGCCTGCAAGTTCATTTGGTTTTGCGTGAACAGTGCCTGTTGATGTTTTAGCCCCGAAAGAAACAAATCAGTTTGAACGTAACTTGTTAGTCCCTTTAGGAAAGTGGCAGTTTTACTCACGATATCAGAACCAGTTCAATATAACTGAGGTTTTGTCAACTTAACACATCAGGTTTTCCAGTTTTTCCTCACTCAATATTAATAAGAGATCCACATGCACACTTTGGTCGCCAGTTTTTTTATGTTTGTCAAAGGCCATGATGCGTCACAAACGAACTCTTTTCTGGCTTTAAGTCATTACTAATTTTTATCGAGACGGAAGATTGTCTGTTGTGGGTAATTACCGAAATATTTCTTGTCACGGGAGGACCTTATTCAGACAATCCGACTACTGACGAGTAGTGAACGCTCTTTGCAAAAATCTGATAATTACCAAACTATGATTTTGAATTTACTAGGTGATATCTGGATATTGGTGGCTAGATGTCAAAAAACCGAATCATACGAAGCTTTTCGACCTTAGAGGTAGGCACCCCGTGGGTGTAACGAATCGATAACGCAGTAGTGTCAATCTACCTAAGGATCATCCACGGATAGAACCTTTTGCCCAACTAGCGATTCTGAGTGACTCCCATGGCTTGCAATAAACCCTCATTGGACTTATCTCAGTTCGCCTCAATCTCTTATTCACATTGTCCTCAAACTAATTTTAGTGCATAGAAACCATCGCTTGTTCAAGTAGTTCTATTGTTTACCAACACCAAGCTTAAAAAGAATAGTGTGAACCAACGATGAAATTCAGCTCAGTGTTCCGTCAACACCAACTTGACGCTGCAAATGAGATTTTGTTGCAATGAACCCCATTTTTTGTTCACGTAGGAAATAAGCTTGATGGAGATTCCGTCACAACACTTAGATGATAAATAAAACTGAAACCGCTCTTTGGCTTTCTATAGTAGCTGGTGGTTCGCTCGGATCAAATCCGGCTGTTCCTAAATGGCTGTTTGCACACATTTTAGTAACGACTGGGCCATCTGTTCTAATGGCTACGTTTCCTCCCACTTTGTATCTATCACTGTATCTGCAAACTGGCTGGTAGTTTAAACAGTGGGATCAAAGACTCAGGTGCCTTAGATTGCTGAATGAGGATCGCTCTGGAGATATACTCCTTCTAACCTGACCTGACGGGGATGCTCAGCCTAGGTTACCTCCAGTTTCAGGTCCTCTTAGCATGTGATCTATATGGAAACTCCCTTCTTTGTCGTTATAGTTGTCTCAGTTGGGACTGAATGTGTTCAGTTGAATGTCTTAACGATTTTCAGGGGGCATTTTCTTTATTCTACTATAAATTTGAAAGAGCCGTTCCAGCCCAAGAGATCAAATACGATAACACTCTGTCGAGTCTTCAAAATCAAACGGACCATTCTCAGCAACTACAGGAACAAAGTATTTGAGCGGAGCTGACGGGATTTCTAGCGAAATAAATTTTGGAATGTCTCAATTCTTTCCAATGAGATATTGATCTAAAAGTACGAAAACATTTTGGCGAGTCCGCACTGGATTCGAGTTTTGCTCTCATTGGGGCTCATCAGTAGTGCACATGCTTGGCATGCCAAAAGTTGAACTCTTGACATTTGACATGTGGCGCGAACGTGTTACCACTACTCTACCAGCACACGCTGGACGCATCTGAATTCTTACATCTGAACAGGAGAGCGCATTCACGCTTGAGTGATGTGAGCGGAAACCCTGACTCCTCGAACGACGACCCAGTAACATACTTGTCGTCGATTAGCACGCCAGTCCAAACTTCCCAGTCAGGTAGCGCCACAGACGCTTCAAGCCTGCTGTTGTTGGTGCTTGCGAGACCTGTAGAGTACACATTCACATGACTCTCATTTGAACACTCGTCCTATCCTGGCGTAATCATTCTGATGACTTCACACCAAAAGGAGAGGGAACTTCCCCCTTCGGCGTGGACTCAACAGAAGGATTGCGCCAGGAAAGTAGGACGATTGTTCGAACGAGACGCTGAAATGCTTCGTACGGTTATCGGTCGATCGTATTTCACTTGGTTTCACGTTACTGATGTCGTAGTTTCTGCATCGCCTCGTAAGCCCACGGTGGCAGAATTAAACAAAAAGTGAGCTCATAGCCATCTTGATTGTAATGGATCAAACGCACCTACTACATTAAAGTTGTCACAGTATTCGTATTGCCTAAGTCTGCTTTTCATACCGGCGGAATACTGAGCCCAATGCTGAGAAGTACGATAGACGAACTGAATAATTGAAGTTGGGACACCAAGCATACCTCTTTTCCTGTGCCGTGCTGAAGACAAAAATAATCCTTACCGGTATTTTATGAAAAATCCCCTCAGAAAAAATAAAACTTGAATGGGCTTCATTCCACAGAAGCAATACATTACTCATAGGTTGCTGGAAACTCTCCATTTCACCTTGGCGATTATTCTCCGGACAAAATAAGTCCATGAAATTTTCTTGTGTTTAACCACTTGTAATAGTATTCATTCCGAGGCCAAAATCTTGCTTGGAACAAGGTTTGGGGCAACACATATTTTCGGACGGAAAGAGGATCACTGGAAATATTGCTCGAAGGAAACACTAAACTATCACCAGCTGCTCCGACTCCCGAACAACTCAACCACTCTAGGTCCGCCATCTTTGGAAATATCTCTCAGGTTAGCAGATTAGCAATAGCAATCATATTTGCGCACTGACTGAAAGCGATCCTATGGTTAACTCCCCCTTATCGTGAAAAATCCATCTATCCACTCACAGTCAAACTGCCTAACTCAAACTCCTCCACTCACAGCCAGTCACATTAGGACATATAGCATTACAGAACATTACTAAAAAAGGCTTACGTGGATCTGCCAAATTATGTCGAAATATGCTAACAGTCTTTCATGCTTGCAGTCTGTTTAATTTGGTTGTTGATCCTTGCTCATTCTTTCAATAACTCCTCGTGTAGGAGAACTTTGAACACTTGTTTTCCGGCCAGAACTAGGCTGACCGACATGACATTTTCGAAGCAGAATTCGCATGACGTAACCAAGTTGGATGTGAACGATAGTGAAACCTCGTGTAAGAGAACTTTGAACACCTGTTTTCCGTCCAGAATTCACATGACGTAACCAAGTTGGATGTGAACGATAACATTCATCTTTTTGAAATTTATTTATCTCATTCATTCAGATACTGCAGCCACGGTTACAGACAAAGTTGATCACCATTCAAGTGACACCGAGGAATGTGCTAGTAAAACCCGCTTTCGAGATGAAGGAGGAGCTAAACTGGGCAAGAAAATTGGTTTATTAAATAGCATCAGCATTATTGTCGGATCCGTGATCGGGTCGGGAATTTTTGTTACTCCACAGGGAATCCTGAGACAAACACACAGCTTCGGAGCAAGCATGATTATATGGGTTTCATGTGGCCTTTTCACATTTCTCGGAGCTTACTGTTACGCGGAGTTGGGGACAATGATCCCGAAGTCAGGAGCGGACTACTCCTATACTTTCGAAGCCTTTGGCCCGTTTTTCGGATTTCTTCGACTGTGGCTAGAAGTGATCGTGGTGAGACCGGTTTCCGCTGCTGTTCTGTCAATGGTGTTTGCAGACTATATCCTGGATCCAGGATTTATTACATGCGCCACATTCCACACTTCGGCTGTTCGATTACTAGCCTGTATTTGCGTGCGTAAGTTTTGTAGTTTTTTAATGCAACTATGATACCATATCTGGTTGAGCCCGTTATACTGTCAGTTCGTAAACCAGAGCTCTCTATACATCACTCAACGAATAGTTCAATGAATGCGTTACCGGAATAGCTTTCACACACTATCGAAGGAATTCGAACTCACAACAGTACCTCCAATGCCTTCAAGAGATAGGTGTTACCCGCTATTCTGAGTCTGAATGCATATTTAACTTGGAGCCAGCACCTCTTGCCTGGGAATGTCATAAATGTCACGTACACGTCGGTGCTGACTCTCGAGGGCGGACCAAATAGAGGTTTACACTTAACGTACCGGAACAAGGAATCCGGCTGCAGTTTCTGCTACTCATCGATAGATGAAAGCCCTCTAAAAGGCGATGTTTTGGCGAAAAGCAAGCGGTTAGCTTGCTCAATACTTAGATTAGCTGATCCTGCTGCTCAAACGCACGGTAAAGACATAAACGACCAAAGGTCGTTTGACAAGTACTCCACAAGATGTTGTTGTCCCCGGTGGCTAATATCCAATGTGCTCAGTTCAGCGGACATGTTTTAGAACTCTTTTCTGTTGACTCTCTTGCTTTCCTGTTGGAATCACTTCTGTCTATCGGGGTTACGTTCGGCTGTATTACGGCAAACTGTCTATTATTTTCTCTGTTTTAAGTTGTTCATTGCCAGGAGGCCCATCCGTTTTTTGAGAAGGTGAATCTGCAATAATGTTCTCTATCAAGGCTTCACCTTGAGGCACGACTCATTATCATCCAATATGGATTTAAAGCGGAACAGCCATTGAAAAATCCTCAAAATACACCTGAGATACAACAATTTCCGCCTGTCTTAGGTGGAGTTCCAAAGTTGAAGGCAAGTGAGAGTTAATCAAACTAATGGTGGCTTCAAGTAAAGGACGGATTTTCAACTAGAAAAATCCGAAATCTCCGCACGCCAACCATAATTAGCTCAGAAGAACAAGCTGAGTGAAACTTCAATCAGAGAAGTCATCATTCGAGCGGCCAGTCAACATGTGACCGCGTGATATGGATTCCGTAGCTGAGGGATGAACTGCACCATATACTGTCTCGTCAACGTCGACAGCATGACTTTAGTGTCTAACAGTGATGCTTCGCTGCCGTGTCGTTGCGGTCTCCCCTGTAACAAACTGTCATAACTGCATGTGGTAACGGTGGCAAAGGACTCTGGAAAGAAAGAGTGAAACACCCTCGCAAGTTTTTCTGGGACAACAGCCAGAGGGTTACCAAGCTGGATATCCGCTTGCTCGCTCACCGTGTTGGTGTAAGCCCTGCATAAGTGTGAGTTCCTCATATTGCTGATCAACTGCTTGTTGCCGAAAGATGAAGTATTTAAACGGCTAGCTGGAGGTTACCGGTTTGAAAATTCCTGTTTGAGCTGATGATTCCCAATGAGGATGAAACGGCTGTACAGTGATCCTCCACCTTTCATCACAGACTGGCTTCACTTACAGGACGATATTTCCCTTACCTAATACCGGATGTGTTTCCTTATTTAGGATTCGGTCGAAAGATCGCTTGAACAAGACTGCACTGGAGAGACCTTTCCAGGTGTTACACCAGTTTCTTGTGGGTCATCTTTGCCACATCGATTCGACATTCCACAATCTTCCCTCAGTACATCAAGAACAAAAATTACCTAATGCAGAGCAGTATTTCTGGGAAGTGTCATGATGCTGCTGAAGCATGCTGGTCACGCTATCCAATCGGCACTTGACAGGACGCCAATTTCTGGCTATAGAACGTATTCATTCCGTACACAAGCGTTTACACAAGTGTGTAAAGTGAGTCAACACGTCGGTCCGTTGGTGGCAGCGACTTGGAAACAGGAAGACAGGACCTGCTACCAACGCTTCATTTGTGCCATATGCTGCTTCTGAGAAAAAATCGGTGCATTGTACAGTCAACCGTATATTAGCACACCCTTGAAAAACAGGTAATAGCTGACGGACGATGAAAACCCGAAAAACCAGGATGTTTCCGATTGAAAAACAGTTTGTTCTGACCTGACTGTATTTATTTTGCAAGGTTACTACCGACATACTGGATTCGATTGTCTATCATAATATTCTAGGTGAAAATATATTGCCATAACAACCCGCCTCAGGTGTTCGGAACTGGGCGAAACAACTTCATTCTCAAAAGTTTGTTGTTCGGACCTATCGAAACTTTATCGCTCTCCGGGACGACATGTCTTCACAGGATGCGCGCGAATTCATTCCTAGTTCACTGATGTTACCAACGCCACTACCACAATTGCTTATTTTTCCTCTGTGGGGGAAAGATCACAAGTCCCAATGGTTTCTGGGGTTTGAATATAGGTCATCATACATGAGAACTTTACGAGAAATATTGCTAACATGAGCTTGTGAAAATGGGATGCACCCCGATGAAGAAAATCGAATGATTGTATGAAGTTGACTGCCTGATTGTGTTTTTCTGGGATAAAGTAACAAGGAACCCAGTCTGGAAGAACAAGAGTAAATGGCGCTTTTGGTGGTTTGGCAGAGTACAGTAACATCCGGGGAACTTACCGCTCAAACACATAAGGGCTGTATCCTCTTCTGCCCTATTCTATAAACAGCTTTCAGGTCATCTGCTATAGTAAGAGTAAGTAGTAAACCAGTTTGTTTTTCTCCAAGTGGCCTGGTGCATCACATCTAGTTTAGCAATAACATCACAAGTGAGAGATTCAGCTGATACTTGATTGACTATCCTATAAAAACGAAATTGGCATGAAAGTAAGTTTATTTGTCGGAAGTCATCGAAGCTATCGGTTGATAAGATTTTGTCTGCAGAACATCCATACTGACATCCATAGGCAGGAAAATCTGCAAATGTTTTGGAATTTGTTTGACTAGAAACTGTGCAAAATGGTCTTTAACAAATAGCAAAACCGAATGAAACTTTGCGCAGTCTTCTGCCTCCCCGGTGTTGTTGGAAAATCAAGTAAAAATGTGGTTTGATTGGTCCAATGCCGAAGATTGCTGAGAAAAGAGATATTTTCGTGGTTTCCGCATTTCTTGCCTAAGCAACTGGAAAACCGTATAGGATTATGAGGCTTTCGTTTTGACCACCTTAAAAACGATGTAGTTGGTTAGATGCCGGTCCGCTTTTGGTTATTGTGACTGGTTCGCTGTGTTCAGTTGAAGCGGACCGTCATAAACGAGTCAAAACCAACTTCGTGTACAAATGGGAGTAGTTGTCGATGTCTTGATATTTTTAACATCCCAAATACACAGATTCTTCCCTCTTTGCTGATCGTATCACTTCCAACTTAAATTTTGATCGCAACACTAATGCCAAAGTTTTTATTCATCTGATCTTTTCTAGTAATTGTTGGGTTCATAAACTCTCTGTCCGTCCGCTGGTCCACACGAGCGCAAGACTTTTCAACCTTTACCAAAGTCTCCGCACTTATTACGATCATCGTTACCGGATTTGTGCAAATAGCACGAGGTGAGTCCCATTATGTAAAAAGCAGAAGCTTATCGAAAACAAAAGTATGTATCCCTTGTTGAAAGGTTTGAGATCCAACCTCCTAGTCCATTCCAGTATGCACAAATGTTAGTTTTGACCTGCAGTGCGTGAAGTTGTATTGGGACGTGTCAGTAGTGTGTATCTCATGACCACGATTCTGCAGTCTTCCGGAGTCAAAGGCTACCTTTAATTCACTGGTGTCTGATGAACGCCGGTTTTATGCTTACCCATATATTACCCATATATATTACAGATTCCGATTCTGTTGTGAATGTACTTAGTTGGAAATGCCCTATGGACTAACCAAAAGGTGACCAGTACATGTTGCTTCAACTTTGCTGATCAATAGGAAGCAACAAAACCAACGCAGTGACCGTTTTTCGATGACCGGAAAGTGTTGGAGCCTGGGTGAACCTATTGTCTTAGTTCAGCTATGGCATAATACCCTTAGACGAATTTCTAACCAACGGCTGAGAACGCCGAAGTGATACGATGCAAGTGGAAAAACCGTCGGAAATATCCATTATTGAACGGGACATATACGTAGGCGGAAAGCAAGTCCATTACGCACGGTGAGGGGGTTCAACAGAAAACCAGTCATGTAATAGACCACCAAATTACAGTACGTGATATTTCTGGCGAGTGACTGTATTTGGAACCAGTGTCGGGGGTAGATGTGGTTTCAGTAAGTGACAGCAACATAGAAAATAATTCGCCGTGTAAATTCGGAACAAGCATCAAAATACTTGGTTAGTGAGAAGCCACTCAATATATTCCTCGAGTTTCCACCGCACTAAGAAGGGTATTTTAAAAGCCTGATCATCCGCAAGAAGTCTCAGAGAGAGGATCTCAGGGTGACAATAAATCTAGTGAGGATAATGCAAACGTTAACATACCTATGAACAAGGCCTAGGGTTACAAAAAGCGTTCCCGGTCTTGTAACAAGAAAGCCAGATATCAGACTCTACCAAAGAAGGCTCGGATTGCTTGACAGATCACACTCAAGTAGTTCACAGCATTGCTTCTGGTGGATGGGATGCTAAATACAGTAAGGAGGTCAGGGTTACTGAATAAGTCATGCTACCGCTGACCGGATTCGAGAAAAAACATAACGTCTTGGCATGTCCGGGAGTTGATGACGAAACAACGCATGCTTAACCAGCTAACAACTTCATTCGCTGTAGTTTGGAGCTGCACATTTTCACGTTACACGCAATGGCTACAAACAAACACTTTGTCCTCAGTGTATTTAAACTGGATGAGGAGAAGTCGGAAATGGGTAGGTTTCCTACAGCAAAAAAAGAACGGACTTGAAGCACGGTTTTTGATGTTATTTGCGGTCTACTTAGCATCACAGAGATCACTGTTATGGAATTCTTAAAGTACTATTGGTGTAATCTAGTAGGTTTAGGCTGATATCAACAATACGATTAATCGCTCACTACGTAGGTGATAACAGTAACGGCAAATTCAGTTGAACGATACCATTGAAAAGAGATTCAGCTGCGATTCAGTCAGACCTCTCATGAAAGCCAAATTGGTGTGTAGACGAGTGTATCTGAACTCAAGCAGAACTCGGTTACCATGCCTACCTGATAAGCTCCTGGAAGGGTGAAACGAGTCGTGAATTAGAAAAATTTTCAGCAACCTTGTAATTAGCCTTATCCAGCAGTATCAGTAAATCTTGGATACTGACTTGAATTTAGCCGTGTTTCTACATTTAACCCCTCTTCCAACCGTTTTGCCTCATCAGCAACTAACACACCAAAAGAAGCGGATGCCAACGGTACACCAGGAGCGATCCACACACCGTGGTGTAAAAGAAACACATTCATTTCACTTAGAGTTCATGGAAATTCAATCTCATTCAACTGAGCACGTAATGATGATCGCATTCCGTTTGAAAGACAAATTCGTCCGGGCCGCTTCTGAAAAAAACTAATGTGGTACAAATCTCATCACTAATGTGGTCCCTTCAATTTTCAATTCTCTTTTTGTCTTGACGTTTTGCCGACTTCATTTAGAATGCAACAATTTAAAGCATGTTTTGGAGTAAATCTTCTAAGCGTGCTCCCTCTTCCTCAAACAGGCCGGACAGACGCACTCAGTGCTCCGTTTGAAGATTCGAATCTGGACCCGGGCGATTTGACTGTAGCCTTCTACAACGGCTGGTTTGCCTACACCGGTTGGCACTACTTCAACGCTATGGTGGAAGAGATGAAAAATCCCCGTCGAGATCTGGTCTTGGCACATCTCATATCGTGTGTATTTATCATAGCGCTCTATACACTGGCCAACCTTGCCTACGTGACCGTGCTTTCGATCCCAGAGATATTGGAGGCAGATACCGTCGCTGTTGTGAGTACAGTATATCATTGATGTATCGTTACTCGTTTTAACCGATCGCCTCATCCTTCGTCATTACAGTGAGCTTCCACAAACTGATACGCTGATATGTGAAGTAACTAGCGGGTAACAAACCAAAATGGGCTGCTAGGTTTTAATTCGTTCCCGAAGGGGTATGTGTTTTCAGACCGCATCTGACCAAAAGAATTCAGTAACCGCCCAATATGTCCCGTAAATATGGCTCACCAGGTGCTCCTGTTAGGCACTGAGGTCATGGTGTCTCAGTCGATAAGGCGCCAGCGTACTGGTTGGATCGTCTGTAGTTAAAAACCATAACCTATGTGTTGGCTGCTGCTGTCTAGGATTTGGCAACCCGGCAGTATGTCAGCCATCGTTCGTCCTTCGTAGCAGGCAAGCATACCCAAGCATCCTTTGAAGAATCATCACAATTATACACCAGAATATGCATCAGAGGACCATCGTTTGGTGGGGCACTGTTTTCCTACAATACCTAAAATCCCACAAAGTGATAGAGTAGGAATTGACATAAGCTGAAGCAATGTTGAGAAGTAGATAAGATCTTTTACTCAAAGACATGAAAGAGATGGAATTCACGTAATAACTAAACAGCGAAACAACGAAACGTCCTGCGATCCACCTTTGAGGGTGTAATAATGGAGTTCCTTATCATTACCGGTTGTTTCAAGGTTGTTCGTCATATTAGTGAATACAGATTTTACCCCGGATGTTTTTAGTCACAACTGCACTGTAAATTAATAGTAACCATTCATTGGAGTCATGTATATCCATATTCTTCTGTTGTGAACCGAAAAATCGTTGCCATGCCATTTCGAATGATCGATCAGCAACAGACAATTACAATGAAGATACTACGTGCAAAACTGTGCTCCTTTGTGGAAACTGGGTTTTATAACAGCATAAAAAGAAAACGAATCTATTCTAAAACACCATTGGCAGAGTAATCTCTAGAGGATGCCTCCGCAGGTTGAAGCCTCTGTTGAGAAAGGCCGCTAAGGCAATATGTATACAATTATAAGATACTTTCACTCTTATCCTCTATCGTTTCCCATGCTTCGTCTCTGCGTTCTACCGGATCCATCTAAACTTTTCTCGATATAGATCCTGCTATCTTGCTATCTTGCTATCCTGCTTGTCATGGTCGGTTTGTGAAACCTGATTACGGAAATTCAAGCCTGATTTCATGATATGCCGTTTCGATCATCACTAGCTGAAAGCTCTGCGACGTCTGGGGTAGTGTCACAATAGAAAATATAGATTCTACAGAATCTAAACAGCTGGTGAAATTGAAACAGTTGAAATTATTGAGCAGCCTAAATAACACTTGACCTCATACGATTGGCAACAAAATTGTGAGGAAAATGGGAGTGCGTGGCCTGTGAGTAGTATGTCACGTCTGGAAAATGTACTCCGAGATCTCGAATATCATGCCTTTGTGCAACCTATTTAGCTAAAAAACATCAACCCGAAATCCATTTAGTCTCCCGTGGGAACCAAATCGGTATACAAATGAGTTTAGTTTGTGAAACTCACTGGCTTTTAAGCAGATTGGTTCGCTTTATTACTAAGTTTAAAATCGGATTTATTATTATATACCTGGGTTGCTTCTTCACAGTCGGGTCTAAGGAAGACGATCATAATCACGTGGATTGCACCGAGGAGTTTGAAATGAAGACAAACTTTCTAAATCTGATTTCTGCAAGAAAAAGCAAATATACTGCAGCCAAGGGAGCTACCTACTTCCCTTGTGTGTCTTGGCCTTAACAAATGTTATTCTTGACAACTCCAGCACAAAGTCATGGAGATGTAATATGCCCCATTCTATGGATACACTGTTCCATTCTCAGTTTGGTTAACAACATTATCTATGAGAGCTGGTCGTATCACGGGGTGACGATATAACTCCCACGAGTGCAACTTACAATCTTGAAGTCGTAGTGAGCAAAGCTCTGGATGAACATAGAAGAACGCCTCCATGCCAGTAGCACCTTTGGGTGGAGTAGCAAGTGTGATATGATTTCGGCTAAGGTAAGTGGCATTCCATTTGGAAAGTTAGTCAAAAGTTAAATTTGTCGTTTTGACAGCAAGATGACTGCATCAAGTGTTTATGCTGAAATCATACTTTGACTGAAAGCATTACCAAAACAGGCGCCCGAATTTACGGGAAATTTCAACTTCATCGTTCCACTATGTTAATGATTTGCAAATCACACATCCCCATTCAACCAACTGAGCTTGAATTTGAGGTTAAAGGTATGGTAAATCCACAGATCTGTGTGACTAACACTCCCAACTCCAGGTAACGATGCTCCCTAAAGACTGTGCCAAACAGATCAGAACACTATTGTTCTACCGTTTCTATGCTATCTTAATAAGTTCGGTCCCAAGCTTTCTGACCGTGATCCACCAATCAGATTCTACTTTCGCACCGCTAAATTTCGTCCTCACGCCATAACGCAGTGGTGCGTCTTACTGTGGTCATCTGGTGGTCAGTGTGGTCGTCTGTGGTTATCATCTGAAATCCACTTGACCTCAACCCCCTCAAACTAAATTGTCGGAGCACTCACAACCCCACAAAGACCAGGGAAAATCTAACAGTTGCACCCGATGTGAATCATCAAGTGAAGCACCCCTGAGTGGAAGATTAAGGAACGAATGGCGATCGGAACTAATTTGGAGCCCCTCCAACCCATCGATTCAAGATTTGGGCATCCACACTAGCCGACAAAGGCCATTGATTGAGACTCAACACTAATCTAGTTTGAAGAGGACGTAGTGATTGGTTCTCCGTCTGTCTTACGACCTGGTCAGTTTGGTGCTCATCAGGTAGGCGCAGTCCCCGAGTTTCCCTCAACTTTATTTTGTGTCAAAAGCGAAACGTTGCCCAAATAAAAACCACCAATTGTTTACCAAGGTTTGTAATGCACTACTCATAAGGTTGCCTTGGGGCTCATCAGGTAGGCGCAGTCCCCGAGTTTCCCTCAACTTTATTTTGTGTCAAAAGCGAAACGTTGCCCAAATAAAAACCACCAATTGTTTACCAAGGTTTGTAATGCACTACTCATAAGGTTGCCTTGGGGCTCATCAGGTAGGCGCAGTCCCCGAGTTTCCCTCAACTTTATTTTGTGTCAAAAGCGAAACGTTGCCCAAATAAAAACCACCAATTGTTTACCAAGGTTTGTAATGCACTACTCATAAGGTTGCCTTGGGGCTCATCAGGTAGGCGCAGTCCCCGAGTTTCCCTCAACTTTATTTTGTGTCAAAAGCGAAACGTTGCCCAAATAAAAACCACCAATTGTTTACCAAGGTTTGTAATGCACTACTCATAAGGTTGCCTTGGGGCTCATCAGGTAGGCGCAGTCCCCGAGTTTCCCTCAACTTTATTTTGTGTCAAAAGCGAAACGTTGCCCAAATAAAAACCACCAATTGTTTACCAAGGTTTGTAATGCACTACTCATAAGGTTGCCTTGGGGCTCATCAGGTAGGCGCAGTCCCCGAGTTTCCCTCAACTTTATTTTGTGTCAAAAGCGAAACGTTGCCCAAATAAAAACCACCAATTGTTTACCAAGGTTTGTAATGCACTACTCATAAGGTTGCCTTGGGGCTCATCAGGTAGGCGCAGTCCCCGAGTTTCCCTCAACTTTATTTTGTGTCAAAAGCGAAACGTTGCCCAAATAAAAACCACCAATTGTTTACCAAGGTTTGTAATGCACTACTCATAAGGTTGCCTTGGGGCTCATCAGGTAGGCGCAGTCCCCGAGTTTCCCTCAACTTTATTTTGTGTCAAAAGCGAAACGTTGCCCAAATAAAAACCACCAATTGTTTACCAAGGTTTGTAATGCACTACTCATAAGGTTGCCTTGGGGCTCATCAGGTAGGCGCAGTCCCCGAGTTTCCCTCAACTTTATTTTGTGTCAAAAGCGAAACGTTGCCCAAATAAAAACCACCAATTGTTTACCAAGGTTTGTAATGCACTACTCATAAGGTTGCCTTGGGGCTCATCAGGTAGGCGCAGTCCCCGAGTTTCCCTCAACTTTATTTTGTGTCAAAAGCGAAACGTTGCCCAAATAAAAACCACCAATTGTTTACCAAGGTTTGTAATGCACTACTCATAAGGTTGCCTTGGGGCTCATCAGGTAGGCGCAGTCCCCGAGTTTCCCTCAACTTTATTTTGTGTCAAAAGCGAAACGTTGCCCAAATAAAAACCACCAATTGTTTACCAAGGTTTGTAATGCACTACTCATAAGGTTGCCTTGGGGCTCATCAGGTAGGCGCAGTCCCCGAGTTTCCCTCAACTTTATTTTGTGTCAAAAGCGAAACGTTGCCCAAATAAAAACCACCAATTGTTTACCAAGGTTTGTAATGCACTACTCATAAGGTTGCCTTGGGGCTCATCAGGTAGGCGCAGTCCCCGAGTTTCCCTCAACTTTATTTTGTGTCAAAAGCGAAACGTTGCCCAAATAAAAACCACCAATTGTTTACCAAGGTTTGTAATGCACTACTCATAAGGTTGCCTTGGGGCTCATCAGGTAGGCGCAGTCCCCGAGTTTCCCTCAACTTTATTTTGTGTCAAAAGCGAAACGTTGCCCAAATAAAAACCACCAATTGTTTACCAAGGTTTGTAATGCACTACTCATAAGGTTGCCTTGGGGCTCATCAGGTAGGCGCAGTCCCCGAGTTTCCCTCAACTTTATTTTGTGTCAAAAGCGAAACGTTGCCCAAATAAAAACCACCAATTGTTTACCAAGGTTTGTAATGCACTACTCATAAGGTTGCCTTGGGGCTCATCAGGTAGGCGCAGTCCCCGAGTTTCCCTCAACTTTATTTTGTGTCAAAAGCGAAACGTTGCCCAAATAAAAACCACCAATTGTTTACCAAGGTTTGTAATGCACTACTCATAAGGTTGCCTTGGGGCTCATCAGGTAGGCGCAGTCCCCGAGTTTCCCTCAACTTTATTTTGTGTCAAAAGCGAAACGTTGCCCAAATAAAAA